CCCCAAAACCCCAAAACCCCAAAACCCCAAAACCCCAAAACCCCATGTAAGTTTATACTTTGATAGTAGTGTGGTTTTATTGTTAAATTAAAATATAATTATTAATTCATTGAGCGTTTGTTTATTGGGTTTAAACTATTTCTGATTCCATCATAGTCATTTAGGTAATTTAAGTCACGTTGTTCCTCAAAAAACTTATCTCGGAACTTTCATCCACCTCCTATATTATGTTAAACATTCCTGGCTCCTGCCTGCTTTAAATATGCTTCTAGAAATTGTAAATATTAGGATTGTTTCCAATATTGTTTCTCTCTTCTTCTTCATAGGAGGACTCCTTCTTCTCTTCTTCATCAGATAAGTTATAACCTAAGATTTTATTGCTGTCTTGACTACTATGATTATTACGATAAAGTCCTTGATTTTGTAAGTTCTATTACTAGATAAACTGCCCATTTTACTAGAATTCCTAGCTGATTGCATTTATTTTTTTGATGTATTGATTGTCTACAATTTGCTTATCAGAAGTGTTCATATTATCCACAGCTAGTTCCTGCTAAGGATCAGAAAATTAATCTCCGATGAAATTACTAAGTTTAACCTTTTTTTGATTAGAGTTAAAACTCCTCGCACTACTCCCAACTTTAAATATTTTTTTGTCACTGCTAACGACTGACTGAGTCAAATGATTAGAAATCTATATCCCCTCCATTCTTTTGTTAAGAACTTCAAGAGTGTGATTAATCTGATCTTTATTCTAGTTCCAAACAGGAGTCCCTTTAATTTCATCATCGAAGTTTACTAATGAAAAGGCTTGTTTCTATAATTAATCCATAAAAGTAAGATGACTCATCGATGTCTCAAAATCATTAGATTAATTGGATTTAAAGATTTAGTTCATCATGATCTCTCTGAGTTTACTTTTCAAGCTAGGATCGTTTATTTCCGATAACTGTTGGAAAAACATAAGAATTGCTACAAATTAAGAATAAATTTTCTGAATGGATCTTACTTTAGTGATTTATAGCTTCAGGTGTTAAATGATCGCTGATTGATTTCTTGTGAATAGGTTTTATTGGATTCAAAATTTAAGAGTGATAAAATTAATTTGACTTGTTAAAGCTAGAGAATTTGATGCCACTGTTCTTTGAGCCATCAGATCCATTGCTTCTCTAGCTTTGAGCTTCGTATCTATGATTTAGATCTTTGTGCTTTTTCTATATATGTAAGATTAGAATGGCAAAGGTATAAGAGTGCATTTAAATATAGTGAAACTTGATTATGTCACTTTGTTAAATATTGAGGCTTACATTATTTGATTGAGAAGACTCTATAATCTTGAGCCTTAGTCTAATATATTATTTTTAGCCTTCAAAAATCTACTCTCTAATAGCTTGAAAAAGATCTTAGTCTGTTTTCAAAGATATCCAATCATGCTCACTATCTTCTTACTAAAGGCAAAAACTATTCAGATTATTGGAGTTGATTTAGGATTTAAATGCTTGCAGAGCCTTTTACTTAAGATTAGCAAGACTTTTTTCAAAATCGCTCAGACTTATTCGTTTCTGTATATTTGGCTCATTTTAATTGACTTCAATGAATATTTTAAATGCTAATGGGGCTGATTTATAGGATGTTTTTTATGCGGATTGATTCTACTGCTTTATCATGTTTTTCATTATATATTTAACTTAGTTAAAATATTAATACGATAATTTTGATAATAGCTAATGTGTTTATATTTTGAAAATTACTCATAAGTTGTTATTATGTTTCTTTAAGGGGTTTTGGGGTTTTGGGG